GGGAGGTTTCTGCGCTTACCAGAAAGACACAGACAGACGAAAAGTGAAAAATCACCTCCCATGGGGATGGCACGCTGCAATCCCTTCTCCTCCATTCTCCTCTCAGAATCTTGGGCATGCACGCACATGTGCCCGGTGTGAGTTTAAGCCACCGGGTCTGGGACTTGAACTGCGGCCGACTACATGGGAGTCCAGAGATATAGCCATTAGCCATCTGCTGGTCCCAAGAACTGGCAATCTTATGCTGGTCTCTGCATTTTGGGAAAACTTTATTGCCCTCCCTCTCATCACAATTCTGGTCTTAACTGCCTTACTTCAATTTTTCCTGTATGTAAATATACCCATTTTGGAAATGTTTATAAACATAAAAGGCTTAAGATACTAAATGACAAAATACATAGTGAAAAATGCAATTATTAGTGCATTTTTAGCATCAAAAAGCAAGTAATAAGTGTCAATAGGGGTGTAGTTAGAGAAAGAACTTCGTGGCATCTTGTGTGATCATCAATGTTGTCAACAAAGTCACTTTTTTAAAAGAATTATTTGTTTACTTTTATTTGTTCATTAACTTTTATTTTAATTTGACCAGAGAGAGACATAAAGAGAGAGAGACAGAGAGAGAGAGAGAAGAAAGTGAGAAAGCAAGCTACAGGTCTGGGACTCGAACTGTGGTCAGCCAGGTGGGAGTGTCCAGCACCTCAACCACCACACTGCCTGCTGGTCCCAACAAAGTCAATTTAAATCTCAAAGAAAGCTAAGGAACAGACAGACAAGCAGCAGAAAGAACTTATTCTCAGCCCTGACCCTGACTACCTGCTGACCAGAGGTGCTGCTGGGGCTGAACAGTTCTCTCTCTGAGACTGAGTGTCCTTTTCTGTAAAATGTGGCTAACTTTCCAGACTGTTGTGAGGCCTTTTGCTGCAATGCAATAAGTGCAGCCCAAATAGTGGCAACTACTAACAGAATGTTATATAGTTTTTTTCTTTATTCATGATAGTGTGGTTGCACCAGGGAGAATGGGGGGTGGGGAGGCAGGACTCCATAGGGTCTGGTTAAGCTTTAATCCCGTTCCTCCAGCCCTCCGGCCTGTTAGATCTTGGGCACTCATGAGTGTCCAGCAAATTTCTGGTGGAATGGGCTGGGTATTCAAACTACGGTTGTCGTGTGGGATCCTGCCTCTCCTGAGCATGGCATTACTGCTATGTCACAGACCTAGCTCAGAGTGTTGTCTTTTATCCAAAGCCACAAACTAGTTAGAGATAGAAGCATAACCTTAACAGGGACTAGTTATGTAGTGATCCCCTCTCCTCGGCCCTGCAGCTTCTCAGGTTCCTGGGCAGCTGATGGTTGTCAAGCTGACCTGGGGGGTTTGAACCCATGGTGGGGCATGTGGCTTCCATCTCTGGCCCAAGGATCCTCATTCTTACTCATGTTTATTTCTAGAATACAATGCTATTGGAGCAGGGTTGGGATGGGGTAGGGTAAATAATTTCAATCCAGACAAAATGAACAGCTAGCTTCCAAAAGAAAGGCTATCTAATACGTAATTTTATGGAGGGGTTGCTTTCTGAAATACACTTTTTAAAGTGCTCATTTACTTGTTTATGCTAAATCTACAGTGAATCAAACAGGATGACCAAGAATTCAACACTGCTAGGAGAAATGGTTTCTGGAGCTTCCACACAGAAGCAATGGCATCAACATGCATGCACACACAAGCACATGTGAATCTGTAGAAGAATGATACATGCTTATAATATAGGCTTATGTTGGAAGCATGCTTACAACATGGATAACACAATGAGAAACAGTGGCTTAGGTATGTTGGATGGCTCTGAATTTCTATAGTCGACTAGTTTTTTCCATTTTTCAAACTTTAAAAAGCTGTGCCTATACTTTTCAAAAGAACCAGTCAAATTATGTGAGTTATGTCAGACAGAGTAACTCAATTACATGAGTACAAAATCCCATTTGAAAATAATACTCCACTTAGACAATGTCCATTAAACAGAACAATTATAAAAATAACAAATCTTGTGAATTTTACGTTGTTTTTTAAATCAAATAAGCTTTTGATTTATTAATACAAAAAAGCCAACATTTTGCTCATTTATAATTTAGATATTATTTCATCATTTCAAATCCCTAAGGATTTCTGTTCCGACCTTTTCCAGAAAGTTCGAGCAAGTCTGATAAACTGTAAAAAGGCACTTACTGGATACCTTCCTTTAGCCTCTGTTACCTTTGTGACCCAGCTTGGTCCAGACATGCTGGGGATTCACGATCTTTTACAAACTACTGTCATGAGCAGCATACACCTGCAAGCCCTGACAGGGCAGGGGAAAGTGCAACTATGGAAGAGAAACTCGATGTGGAGCTCACTGTAACACATGAAGAGGAAACTTGAAAAACGGGCCTCAGCAGGACTCTATGAGCTAACTGCTCAACCGGTGACCGCTCAGGTGAGGCAACCATAGCTCGCCACCACACCCAGCACTATTTTTCAAACATTTTCCAAAAGGAACTTGAGGAATGAATTTATCTTTTTTCTTGGAGAGGTTTTTGCTGTAGGGTGTGTGCGCTTGCCAGAGAGACAGAGAAACAGAAAGCGAGAATTCACCCCCCAGGGGGGATGGCCACAACGCAATCCCTTCTCCTCCATTCTCCTCTGGGGATCTTTGGGCACACATGCACGCACGCCCGGTGTAAGTTTAAGTCACTGGTTCCCGTATTCGAACTGCGGTGGACTACCTGGGAGTCCAGTGACATAGCCATTAAGCTAACTGCTGGTCCCAGGAATGAATTTATCTTCACAGCACTCCAAAGTCTTTTCTGGCTGGTCTGCATCCCTCTTCCCAGACTGAGGGTGCTTCCACTCTGGTCCCAAGATACTCTGCATGCATCTGCACGATGCTCTCACCAACCTGTCATCCAGCTCCCCAGGAGCTCTGGCCAACTTGCAGCAGAGTCCAATGGACAGCATAACACCCAACGCACAGTAGGTACTCAATAAATGAACTGATAACTGGAAGGGACGCAAGTAACGCTGAGCCAGGAGCTGAAGACTAGTTTACTCTCTTAAAGCATCTTCCTTCATGCTCAGGACCATAAGCTAACATATGTATCTGTATTAGTACCCTTTTATTTTTTCTTAAAAAAAAAAAAAAAGAAAAAAAAAAGAAAAAGGCAACAGAGAAGCAAAGTGCCTGATCTCCTTGCCTGGTTTCTTTCCAAATACTATGCCATCCTGCCAAATCAGTTCACTGTCTTTGTGCCAATACCTAGAAAGCCTTTGTGGTGCCAGGTGCCTAGGATAGGGTCCATGCTTCTGAGCATGGCAAACGAGGTCTCGCAGTCTATTCTCATGTCCCCTAGGGATCCTTTCGCAATGTGCGGTGCTGGTCCACTGCAGCTAGGCTTAGGAAACCCTTCTGCATCTCTCTTTTCTATTCTAAAACACTCCCTCCCCTCTCCATCCACCCAATCCTAACCCATCTGTGAGTACCCACACCAGTTTCTATGCCTCACAGGGTACAACTGTATCCTCTCTCTCTTGTATATTTACATGTGAAGCCATAAAAGTGATAATTCTAACATAAAAAATCCTATTTTATTTATGTCAGGTATAGCAGAATAACTCATTTGATGGTTTACTAACGTGTCCTGTATGATCCGAGACTGGATACTTGAAACAGGTATAGTTATGCGATTGAATCTTAATTCCATGCCCCAAGAGCCAACAGACTACAGAAAACACAAGTATTCCAAAATAATCTACTCCAAAGTTAAAGGAGTAAGTTCCAAAAAAAAAAAAAAACAAAATTAAAAAGATATTACACAAAATTGAAGTTTAATTTCCAATGAGACATTTTAATAGTACTGTTATTACATGATAATTTAAAACCAATTCATCTAAAAATTACACCAGCAGCCTTGCAACTACTACTAGTTACAATACCATATGCATATAGGTGTGTGTGTGTGTGTGTAATTCTTTTAATTCACTAGATCACATTTCCATATTATTCAACCTTTCTTAGCCAATCCCTGGGGAATCTCCCCCCTGCCTATCACTAACGGTGACTGCTCTTTATTTTGTAGAAACACTCGTTTGTGAGGTTCCCCTAATCTCTGACAGCTTTTAAGGGGTTTCCCATAAACACAACTGTTACTGGCAACCACCTGACAAACCGCAATGTCGAGTGCTGTAAGTTAGACTTCACTAAAAAAATTTCCCCTGTAGTTTCAATTTTAGGACCCGAGGAAATTCTACTTCCTGACCCGAAGCATTATTTACTTCACCGCTGCGCTGCACCTTCCCAGAAGGTATTGGAGGGCTCCTCCCCATTTCTTCCAGTCACTGGACAGCCGCTGTCCCCTAACCAGCACTGAGAGTTAAAGCAAGCAGCTTAGTGCAGTGTCACTTTTAATGTTCTAAAACGTTTTCAAAAACTGTAATTTCGGTGCATGATGAAAACGGGATGGAGACGAGAAAACCAGCCTGTTTACAGTTAAAGTACTCCTGGTCAGGCAAAGCCAAAGACTCAAACCCTGCGACAGACGACCCACTGGCCATCAGCCGGGGCAGGGGTCGGTGTGAGCAGCCGCTGGCTAACTTCACCCCACTGCCTGCTCCCCACCTCGCCCCATCTCCTTGCTAGAGTGAGAGAAACCAAAGCATCACTTGACCTCACTGCCAGCCCGAAACACTCCTGTTCGATAACCGACTCTGACCCGGGCGCGGGAGGCCCCAAGGGCAAGTAGGCGCGGAGCCGAAACGAAAACCTCTGACTTTAGGAAGGGGATCGGGCGGATTCCACAGAGAACCCTGTCCCTAGATTTCACCGGGAGGTCCGGCTGCCAAAGACAAGGCCCCCGGGCCACACCGCTGGACAAGGGGGAAGGCTCACACCCCGATGCTGGGCGAGGCCCATGGGGTCAAGGCCACGAGCCTTGGGCCCTGGCAGGAGGCCCAGCCCAGCCCGGCTCGGCGCCCTTACCCACGGTGGACTTGCAGGCCTCGCAGAAGGTGTCGTCGGTGAAGCGCTCCATCAGGCTGGTCTTGCCCACGCCGCGGG